ACACATAGCTAGTGGCCACTGCATTGGACAGCATAGTTCTAGACCAGTGGCTCTCAACCTGTGGGTCACGACCCCTTTGTAACAATGAAAATACATCCTGCATATCAGATATCTATATTATGATTCATAACAGTAGCAAAATTACAGTTATGAAGTAGCAACGAAAATAATTGTATGGTTGGGGGTCACCACAACATGAGAAACTGTATTAAAGGGCCATGGTATTAGGAGGCATTAGGAAGGTTGAGGACAATTGTTATAGACCTTTGCTGCCCTCAGGCATGGATGGACATTCTGGCTTTTTAAGCCACTGCAGGTTACTTGGAGAGGCTTTACTTTTTCATTTTAATCTCCAAGGTTTGTGTGGATTCTCATGGACAACACAGTTAAAATGTTTGTGTTGGGTAGCAGCCTTCCTCCTGAAGCTCATCTTGCTTGCTGGGAGATACAAGTGACTTCCCTGGTGTAAACATCACACCCAGGCAGGCCCGGGGCACTGCCAGCTACTTCTTGATATCAGGTTAATTGATACGCCTCCTTCTGATGTAACAGTGGGGCCCTGTGACTTGGAAATCTAAATATTTAGTTACGCGGCCACCGGCAGTGGAGGGACAATCATCCTATTCCTATTGGCAGAGCAAATGTGCTCTAGAATAAATGCAAGCCACAGGATCCCCACCTCCTTTCCGGATGAAGAGAATGCAGTCCTGGGGTTTGTGCATTTGGAACCGTGTCCCTTCCGGCCAAGATAAGGACGTAGACGAGAAGGGCCCGTGATCTTCATAGAATCTTGTGGTTCCCTCACATCCTGGGCGAATGAATCATTTTCATCTTCTTTTATGGGGAACCTGGGAAGGACTGAGAGCAGGAACTATTCCCTGCGCCCCTGTTAATCACAGCAGGCTCCTCCCAGCCGGCAAGGGCGCCACCTCCTCCCATTCTGCTCTTTAGTCTGCCTCATTATTCAATTTCTAGTGGGTTATGCGGAGCTGCTGTTTATTTCCCTGTTAAATTCTAACCTGATTAAACAGTTCACAGGGTTGTATGTAACTCTGAAAAGGGTCTAAGATTTAATTGCTACGTTAGGTTGGTTTTTAGAAATGTGCCCTGGGACTGTGCTGAGGTATTCTGGAAGCCTCTGCACCTGCTCCCTCACTGATAGCTGTGGGAGCATCACTCGCAAGCGCAGCTGGACACCGAGCAGTTTGTAATGGACTCTAATGTTAGCATGTCACTTAAGAGTCTCTCTCATTCTCAAGATGCATAACAGTAAGTATCTCCTGGATGGGAAACTGAAGTGCTTAGGAGTAAAGTGGTTTGCCTGAATTCACACTGTAATGAGGGGCAGAGCCGGCTCTTGGTAAAAGCTTTCTCCTATGCCACTAACTTAAACGTATTCAGGAGGCACTGCTTTAAAGAACATCTTAGTAGGCCAAATGCGCTGGCTCACGCCTGTAATCCTAACACTCTGGAAGGCTGTGGTAGGTGGATTGCTTGAGCTCAGGAGTTTGAGACCAGCCTGAGCAACAGAGAGACCCCATCTCTACTAAAAATAGAAAAAAACAGCCTGCCATGGTGGTGGGCACCTATAGTTCCAGCTGTTGGGGAGGCCAGGGCAAGAGGATTGCTTCTACCCAAGAGTTTGAGGTTGTTGTGACAGCACGGTGGCACTTTACCCAGGTGACAGAGACCCTGTCTCAAAAAAAAAAAAAAAAAAGAACATAGCATAGGCTTGATAGGCCTTGCTTTATCTTGGACCTAGATAAATACAATCTCTGCCACTGGATGTGGCAAGAAGAGTGTGCCATGACGGAGCATGTGATCTGCTGAAATCTAGGAAGGTGTCTGCAAATGATAGCTGACACCAGAGCTGTTTCAAACAAATGCCTTCTTTGTTCCAGGCTCACCAGAGTTGTGACAACTGGAGTCTGGGTTAAGGAATGAACAAGTGATGAGGGCTGCAATCCAAGTGTCATCAGTTGGTAGTGGCAAAATTTTATAGTGACTAAACAGTGGAAAAATGTCCATGGATGAAGCAACTTGCTTTCTGCCACTGACTCAGAGAGTGAAGCTGCCTTCACAGATCTGAGGTGAAACATTACCTAGACTGAGTTTTCAGCCACAGCTGTCTGTAGAACAGCGGTTCCCAACCTGTGGGTCGCGACCCACAGGAACTGTATTAAAGGGTCGCGGCATTAGGAAGGCTGAGAACCACGGGACTAGAAGGAAATGGGAGGAAAGCTTTGGTCAGGTTTACACTGCCTCACCAAGCTCTATCTTTCTCTGACCTCTTTCTGAGTGACTGGGGATCTTTTGCTACTCCAGTGCCTGATGGGACATTCAAGATACTAACTTTGGACATTAGATCCGTCTGGCCTAGGTTCTCCTTTGGGAGATGCCGGCATTCTTATTCATAGCCTCCCCAGGAGACCAGGCCCAGGGCCGGCCTTCCTGGCATTGAGGACCCTGTGGAAGGAGGTTGATAAGTTCTGCATCCCCCCCAGGATCTGAGATAAAGCAGGGCAGGCCCAGACTCTGAGGGTTCAAGAACAGATTTCCATAAAAATCAGGGTAGGGATCCAAACCTGGGAGGGAAATCTCCAATCCAACCCATGATCCTGGAGTTGAAGATTTCGTGGGTCTGGTCAGAGTCTAAGAAGGGACCTCTGGCTTTATTTGTACCAAGTAAAAATTGAAGCCTTGAGCCAGGAGGGACTGACACACATTGATGGCTATGAAGAACGAGGCACTGTGACATTTCCTCTTGCCCACCCTCCTCTGCTTTCAGGTCCAGAGGCTAATCTTCCAGTATCCCCCCACCCCCAAAGAATATCTGTAATGCAGAGGGCAAACCAGAGGTGAATTTTCAATGTGGAAAATTCTGATTTTGCCATTCTTCTTGATGGAGAAGACAGGGCCTTGAAGGTACTTGTACAATCAAGGCCCAAACCCTTGGGATATCATTACCTGGAAAAAACTGACTTTATGTAAGCAAGGTTTCATGTCCTCTGCCACACAGAGGTACAGTGGCATAGACTAGACATGAAAAAGCTTGTCCCTGTGCTTTACTTTAGAAGAGAAATTGTTAGTTTTATGTATTTTCGTCTTTATTTTGCATTGGGTATAAGTGAATAATAAAATTAAGAGTTGGAAAATAAGATCCATATAATCTGTGATTATAGAAGTGATTTCACATAATTATATTTAGATGTACAACCACGGCCTGCTTTGGAAGTAGTTTTGCAGTGATGATTTTAAGAATGCATAATTTTTATAGGAGAAAGAAGAAAACCATAGGAATCTGACATGAGCCTGTTCCCCAGACAAAGCTGTGAAGAGGATCATAAAGCTTCAAGTCCTGCATATCCCAAATGCATGAGTATTGCCATACGAAATGGACGTGACCATGCACGTGAGTCTCTGAATGAAAACAGAAGAACCCAGCTGCCCATTGGTTTAGTAATTCCAATCTAGGAAGACTGCTACATGCTACTGTTTGACTTACATTTTTTTAATCTGTCCTTGATTTTGTTTCTAAGTGTAAAAATGTGAGAATTTATCTTAAGGCTAAAAATGTGTTGTTCTAGCCAAAGTAGATTTAATTTTTGGATTAATCTTACTCCCTAAGTTTAATCAGTAGCAGGCATTATATTTAGTCCTTGACTAACAGGAAAAGATCCAGGCAATGTGTTCTTCTTCATTCTACCAACATCGGGAGATATTCTCTTTCACCTTCAGATTCTAGGTGAAATCTTTTATTGTATGATTTTATATTCCTTGACAGGACATATATATCCCTCCTAAGGATACATCGACGTCTATAAACATCAATCACTGACGTTCCTAAGGTGTCCTTTGAACATGAAATAAATGCAGAGTGAACACTTTAGATCAGTGGTTCTCAACCTTCCTAATGCCATGGCCCTATAATACAGTTCCTATGGGTCACGACCCAAAGGTTGAGAACCGCTGCTCTAGATTAAAAAAAGAAATCTTCACAAGAACTTGATTGGTATCAGGTATCCAGAATCTATTTTAGGGATCCACACCACTAATAAGAAAGAGAGAGCCCCTCCTCTAGAGTGTATTTCAGGCATAAAATATTAAATAAGAATTCATAAAAGGCATATTACTCATCTTAAATCAATTTACCATGCTCACAACCAGTATTGAATACAGCTTGTGGTATTTAGCTCTTACAGAGGATAAGTAAAATTCTTAGACAGATAAGATCTTAAACATGAAATATGATCATAGCTCAGCAGTTCAGAGCACCTTCTCTGGGGTAGGACTGGTTGGAATAGAATCGCTACTTCACCATACACTGGCTATGAAATCTTAGGTACAGTTTCTTAATTTCTATATGGCCCAGTTTTATAAAATGGGGGGGGGAGAGGATAGATAAATAGATTTATAATAAGCAAATAAGCTAAAATGTATTAAGTGCTATTAGCCCAGTGCCTGGAATGTTGTAAGCACTCAAATAATGGTGACCACTACCACTGCTATCATTATTATATTGCTGTAATAGTACACTTCTCTTATTATTTGTTGCTATCATTCTAGAGAAAAAATTTAAACAACTGCCAGTTATTATATATCACAGCTATTATTGGATTTTACTCTCTTCCTTCATTTGAAATAAAAACTAGACCCACCAACGCAACAAGTTAGACCACAAGCCACAGATACGGTGCTGTGCTTGAGAAGGCCCAGAGACTCCAACTCTCTTTAGGAGTCCCAGGATTTCTGATCTGGATGGTGTCTTGTAGACCATCTACATCTGGCCCTTAATCTGTAGGAAAGAAGAGTTATGGGGTAACCAGGGTAAAGTAGGGAGACCATCCAACAGGGAGCAGGGGGAACAGTGGCCAGGATGAGAGCCTCTGACCCAGCCATTCCCTTCCCTGACTTTTAGGATTCTGCAACATCTCCTTTTTGAGTCAGTTTTTTCCTAAGTCTCTCTCTCTCTCTCTCACACACACACACATTCTTCCTACCTGTTTAGATGACCCGCTTGAGAAGCGGGATCTCTCAGAACTTGACTCCAGCCCCCAAAAGTGATCTCGTTTCTTCTCATTTGGGTCTTTTCTGTGATCCTGTCGTCTCAAACAAGCCTGGAGAACAACAAAGAAATGTTTCTTTGTCTTATGTCTATGCCTAGCTTTGGTAACTTTTGTGAGGAGCATGAAATAGATAACATACCTGCCCAAGTATGCAACAAATAAAGACCAAGTATCCCTCTCTCTTCCCTTCTCCCAAAATGCCACGTCAGAAATGTGAGTCATTGCTTTAACAAATTCAAACAATAAACATCCCAAGAGACATTTTGTCAAGAATTTTCCCACCAGTGGCTCTCTCAAGGAAAATAATACGTATTATACCTTGTTAACTTCTCTTCCTGGTCTCATTCTCCTCATGCCTCTTCCCTTTTCCCACCCCTTAGTTATAGGATAAAAATTCTCATACCTCAAAGCTTTAGCACATGCTGTTCCCTCTACCTGGAAGCCCCTCCATTAGATGTTCCCTTGGCAAATCCTGCAGATCTAAGAACCAGTTCCTGTGGCCTTCTCTTTCATTTCCCTGACTTACTACTCTTCCCCAGACTGAATTAATTGCTGGAGAACTGCTTCTTGATGGAGAAGACAGGGCCTTGAAGGTCTTAATTCAAGCTGATATACGTAGCTTGAATTGTACATATTTTTGTCCTGCTAGCTGCTTCTGTTTTTGAGGCTGTTTCTCCTCTGATCACTGAGGACTCTTGAGAGTAAGGACCACCCCATAGATTTTGAATCCCCCAGCATCCAGTGTTCAATTTTAGTTGAATCACATTTTTGCTTTGGAGAAAGATATCAATCCCCAAATGCAAAATAATAAAAATAAAAGAATCAACAAAAATAACGTCCCTACTTTTCTTAACAAAATTAAAATCTGGTACCAAAATATTTCTCCCCCAGTACTAGGACTGAACAAACACAAGGATATCATGTCCTATGGGGATCTCAACTGATATTGTAAATACTTCAAAACAATAAAAGTTCTGGGAGCATCTTTGTACTTGTAGATCCAGTAACCCAATTCACCTTTGTTCTGCCGAGGCCAAATTATGCACTGTCACAGAAAAGGAATTCGGTGTAAAGACCAAAACAATATTATTTCTAAACAAGGCCTGACATCTGCCCCTTAGATTCCTTTGGTCTTTTCCCTCCTCTGCTAGAAAAGCATCCCTTCAAAGATGTGGTAGGACTTACCAGAATTTCCTGCCATGGGGCAAGCCTGACATTATGTTACAAGGTTAAGAATAGAAATGACCCAATACCAACAAAACATTTACTACTCGGAATTGAAGTGAGTCACACCGTGCTTCGCAAGTGAATTGCAAACCTACAGGCTGCTGCGGCAGCAGCCAGCTGGTCACCTGCAGCAGGTGGGATCATCCTGGATTCCCAGGAGAAAGATGTGGTTTCACTCCGCCTCGTTTGGGAAGGGAGAATACTTCAAGATGATTTTTTTTCCTTTCCCACAGTTCGTCTCATTTTCCAAAAACTATGCCACAAAGATATAAGTCATTGTAATCGATACGGGGCAGCCTTGGTCTTCATAATTTAAATAAGAAAATCAAAAGCATACTAGACAGTAACTATAATAAGTTAAACACGCACCAAATAATAAATAAACTAAGCTAAACCTCAAAGGAACGGGCTGGAGAACTTAACGAAGTTCAACTCAACATGTGCCTTTCTTTTCTCGTTCCTTTTCCGATGACTTCAAATTAGACCTGCTGTTTGGGAGGAGCCCTGGCGTGGGGCGTTATTTCCGAAAGGGGCAGATGTCTGTGTCGCCCTAACCGACTGGTGTTAAAGGCGAAAGAACATGCCCACGGGCTGCAAGTGGAGGAGGCAGTGTTAGCAAATGTACGCAGGACCAAGGCAGATTTTGTGGGATGAACAGAATTCTTGTGGGCTGAGTGTTTCTTGAAAATTCTCTCCAAGAATGCATATGACTTAAATATTTCTTTACCAAAGGGGAGGAGGAATAGATTGGTTTGCAACGTTGAAAAAAAAATTTTTTTTTCCCCTCTAGTTCCTTGTTCCTCCTCTCACAGAGGGGCAGGAGAATGCACCAGTGGCAAGGTAGGTTCTTAGTAATTTTCATTTTGATACAGCTGAGCAATCTTTCTGCATACATCAAACACTAATCCTCTCAGTTAGCTTTGCTGAGAAGGAACAGGGGCACAGAGCCAAATCTAGACTTCAAGTCCTAGAAACAGCAAAAATTCAGCCATGCTTCCCCCAGGGGCTAGTTTTCTTTGTATTTGTAAATTTGAATGATTTTTTATTTGTTGATGATGATGTTTCTACACTGGGGCCCCTGAGGGGAAACTGGGCAGGGGACGGTGAAATCCGTGGGTCTGGGAGGAGGAATGGATGCTGTAATTCATAACCACCAGTGGCCACCCTTACCCTGGACTTTAAAAATATTCCCCTTTCAATTGCAACTGTCTATAAATAAGTTTCTGATCCCGTGGCAAAACTGGCTGAGGGCAGTCTTGAAATTGAAGGCTTCAGGTAACTTCTCATTTCTTCCTTCCGTGGAGAGTCAGGGCTTCCTACCCGGCTTTTCCTTTGGCGTCACCCTTGCCCCCACCGCACGTCCCTCTGACTACAGCACGCGCAGTCAGGGCGCCTTCTGTGCAGAAGCTACCACTGTGGGGGCAAAATGCACAATGCGCACAAATGCCTGTGGGGGATGACGTGGGTTTTGTGAGTCACTGTAACTCAATCTCGGTAAACATGACAAACCCGGCTCTGCCACTTTCTAGCATCGTGACCTTGGGCGAGCTGACTAACTCCATTGATTCTCACTTTCCTGTAAGAGCCAGATGTCCCTGTCCTGCAAGACTGTTAGGGGCAGAGCTCAAAGTGCGGTTGGTGATAGGTCAGCAGCAGCGCCTGGCCCACGGCAAAGGTACCCCCTCCAGCAGTAGCAGCAGCAGCAGCCGCTGCCTTTTAATTGCTGTTTTCAATCCCCCTTTCTGGTTGACTTCTATTTCTACAGTCAGCCTTTGCCAAAGCATATGACTATGATCTTGGTTGCAGAAGAGAGGCTCTTTCTGCCTAGTTCTGAGGTTCACCCTTGTTTTTCTGCCCTGTAAATAGAGGTCTGTCTCCCCAGCCAGCCAGTTCCCCAGCCAGCCAAGTGAGGAGCTCCAGCTTGGTCATCCCGGGTCACGCTGGGAGCCACTTTTTCTTTGGCACTACAGCTCTCTGAATTCACAGTTGTGTTCAAAGTTTCTTTCTTTCTTTCTTCTCTTTTTTTTTTTTGTAGAGACAGCCTGTCGCTCAGCCTGAAGTGCAGTGGTGGGATCATCGCTTACTGTAGCCTCAAACTCCTGAGCTTCAGCGATCCTTCTGCCTAAGCTTCCTGAGTAGCAAGGACTAAAGGTGCACACCACCATCCCCTGCTAATTTATTTTTATTTTTATTGTTGTATAGATGGGAGACCTCTCTATGTTGTCTAGCCTGGTCTCAGGCTCCTGGCCTCAAGTGATCATCCCACTTCAACTTCCCAAAGTGATGGATTACAGCATGAGCTACCTCGCCCGGCCCTTTTGTTTCTTTTATGATCAGTCTGATCCTTCTAGTCATCTTGTAACTTCACAAACCATGTGCCACAGGAATATTGCCCAGCCTCATAGCTCTGGTTAAAAAAAAAAAAAAATCGTAACTGTGGCCCAACTTTATGTCTCAATTCATAATGGCATCTGTTCCTCTAACTCTGGAAGCATTTTAAGAAGTGAGAATTGCCACGGACTTCAGTTGGTTCTTTTTTTGTTGTTTTTATGATCTCACATGAATAACCCAGAGGTTGGGTTTTAGTTGTCATTGGTGATGTTATTAAAGTTTATTAATTTTAAGAAGTTAAGAAATCAAAAGCGGTATTTTCTTCCAGCTAGTTTGTTTTTATAGTTTGGCTGTGACGAGCAGAGCCAAAGGTGAGCCAGAAAGAGAATCCTCTCCGGATTCCAGTGGGAAGAAGAGCTGAATTACCTCCGTGCCACCTTCCTGGGTGAGCAGCCCCAAACCTTTTCAGCTGGTATAAAGTCACCTATCATGTCCTTCAGCAAATTTGTATCATCATGTTTAGTTGTTTGATCTGCACTTGGAAGAATCAAGATGAATAAACGACATGAAATCAAACCAATTTGAACACATTTAATAGATTATAGAAAATCATTCCAAAATGCCAACTGTAATCTTCCCCTCCAGATTTCTAGTGGACATTAATGGCTAAATTCTGCCTCCAGTTACACAAACACATTTAACACCCCCCCAAAGCTATGCAGCATGAACACTCTTGAAGAAATAGAGCCAAATTCCGAGACAGCATATAATTATATACTAGTTTCCGCATTCTGAAATAGCATGTAATATGCCAAATAGATGTTTATTTCCTCTTGTTTTCTCAGAAGGGTCCCACCCAACCACTGAAAGGAGTAGCATCAAAATAACTCAGGGTGGATTTATCCTTCCGTGCTTGCTACAGGCAAACAGACCTGCAGAGGCCCTGCTAATCGGCTATGTACCGACCCTTAGCACACTTTAGGCTGTAGCAGGAATGCTTTACACAGGAGGTTTCTAAGGGCTTCAATTTGAGCCGTTCATTAAAGGCCAACCACAGGCAGGAACACAAGGCAGATGTACACGGCTTGGGAGGCACATCTAGTTATGAGGTCTCACACTGTATATCCTGAAATAGGGTATCCCTGGTGTGCAAAGTGGGTCATTGCACCTTGAGTGAAAGTGGGGATTTCCACAAGAAGTAACTGGGTAAGCTCACTGACGACTAGGGAACCAATATCCACCCAATGCAAAGCTGACCTCAGTAAACTGTCTAAATATACACAGGCCATATATGGGCCTAATTACTGAGGAGTCATGGAAGTCACACAATTACTTTAAATTCTTTCTGGTAAAAGGTAGGCAATAGATTAAATAATACAATTAAAATTCTTTCCTGTTCTCTTTAGTTATTGTGGGTTGCTATATACTTCTCTGGACCATACTTAGAACACCTTAAAGACAACCATAATTATTTTTTGCAGACCCTGTGGTGAGTGGTTTTGAAAATGCTCAGTGAGGATGGATTTGAGTCTTAGGAACAGTCACAAGTCAGCTGGATCTAAGTCCGACAGAGCCAGTGGTCAAGTTAGGTAACACTTGCTTTTATTTATTTATTTATTTATTTATTGAGACAGAGTCTCACTATGTCACCCTCAGTAGAGTGCCGTCACAGCTCACAGCAACCTCAAACTCTTGGGCTGAAGTGATTCTCTTGTCTCAGCCTCCTGAGTAGCAGGGACTACAGGCACCCACCATAACGCCCAGCTAGTTTTATGTTGCAGTTGTCATTGTTCGAACAGACTGGAACCCGCCATCCTTGGTGTATGTGGCCAGTGCCGTAACCACTGTGCTACGGGCACCGAGCTGTACACCTGCTTTTACAAACTACAAGACATTTGGTTCAACATAGAAGAGTGAGACTCAGCCCCTGACCTTAAGAAGCTGTGATCCAGTTTGAGGGGAAGCCACACAAAAGACAACCACCACGCCACTTCATCAGCTCTGTGCAAGAGGCAGAAAAAGGTGCTGTGGGACTGGGGTCATAGAAATGCTCTAAAACCAGGTAATGCTTATGGCTGTGAACTTGGTTGAGTTTACAAAAGGACACTAAATTGTACAGGTCGAATGTTGGGGTATGTAAATTATAACCTACCCTAATTTAAAAAGGAATTTTTTAAAAATACCACTATGTGTACTACTGTCTGAATACAGAGATGCCCTTTAGTTCTAGATTAGAACTATGATCCTCACCATCCTTGTCAAGAGAGGAAAGTAAAGAAGGGGAAAGAAGTTAGAGAAGGGGGGAAGGCATAGTTTAGTCTTGCTGAGGTTCCAGGCCTTGGCCTTTATGTGAGGGGAAGCCACTGAGCAGCATCGTCGCATTTACATTTTAGACAGATTTCAAGGGAACAGTCTGAAATATGACAACACTAGAGGCAAGGAGACTGCTGGGAGGATATGGTAATAGTCTTGGAAGGCAGTTAGGGAGGTGGTGACAACAGGATAAAAAGGAAGGCACAAGTTCCTGAGCTCTTAGGTAAACTTGGCAGGACTTGGGAACTGGTGGAATGTGGATGAGGAAGAAGAGGGAGGGGTCATCGAGGCTCAGATCATCCAAGTGGTGGCCGGGGGACAGACGCACGGAGTACTGGACTTGAGGTGCCTGGATGACATCCAGGGGGAAATATCCAATCAACAGGAGGTGCACACGTGATTCTGCCACTTCGAGGAGACCCAGGATCATTAATGTAGAGGGGCAGTTAAAACCATGGGAGGAGATGAGATGAGTCACAGCAACCTTGTGAATGAGAAGAAAATTGGGCAGAGGATGGAACCCTGGGGAAATTAACATTTGAAGGGCAAGGAGAGGAGGAGGATATGGAAAGCAAAATGAAGAAGAAATGTGAGAGAGAAACAGGAGGAAAGTCAGGAGAGTGTAATGTCAGAAAGCGGAAGGAGTCATGTTTCAATGAGAAAGGAACGATCATGTCAGTCAAAGGTAGATGGAGGATTTTGTACAAAACAATCAGCACACTGAATCCCACAAAGGCATAAGTGTATTCATGATCTATGTATATATCACTTAATTAAAAAAAATAAAAGAAAGAAAGAAAAGGAAGCCACTGAATGTGGCTACGGACCTTAGTGAGAACATCTTCAGGGGAGGGGAGGTGATAGCCAGGCCGCAGCAGGTTGAGGAACTGAGCTAGTAAGAAGAGAGGAAAGGTCAAAGCTACAGACAGAGGCTGCTGGACCCAGGCTGGCACTTGTGGGAAACAGAGGGTCACTCCACCCTCGGAACCTTGGGGGCAAGGTGGTGTGTAGCCTGGGATGAAGGGCGGAGGACCAACTGCGCTCCCACCTGCTGGCCTTGGGTTTATTCATCTTGTTTCATGTGTGTAAAACAAGGGAAGGGAGTTCTCTGTTGAAAGAAAGCATTGGGGTCGGAGGTTTGAACGAGTAGAAAGGCTTAAAAATAGTGGCGATAACAGAGGGAGCTGATGGACAAGAAAATGTGTTGTTGTGAATCATCCTTCATTCTTTCCTTTCCCACCCTCCACCTCTCCATCCATCAGCAAGGGGTCGATTCTGCTGCTATTTCCTGGCCCCAGCTGCTTCTCACCACCTCTATTCCTAACATCCTGCTCCAAGGCACTATCGTCTCTCTCCTAAAATGCTATCATAGCTTCCATATGAGTTTTCATGCTGTTTCCCTCGTCCCTTCCACTTCTTTCTCCAGACTGCAGCCAGAGTGATCTTTAATAAAATATAAGTCAGATGATACTACTCCCCAGCTTAAGTCATCCAGTGGTTCTCATTGTGATGAGAATAAAATCTAAGTGACAAGCTTTGTCCTGTGAGACCCAACACGATCTGGCCCTATCTAGGCCGTATCACCTTCTTCCTCCTTGTCACGTTCACCAGTTCAATGCTTTCGCTGGGTTAATGTGTTTCAGCCACTCAGCTGCCTTTAGTTTCCTCCAGTGCGCCAGGCTAGTTCCTGCCTCAGGACCTTTGCACTTGCTTTCCTTCTGCTTCTACTACTCTGGTGGGCTCCTCCCTGAAATTCACCTGAATAGTTAAATGTCACTTCCTCAAAGAGGCCTTCCCTGATTGTCTAAAGGAGCATCACCTCCACCCCATTACCTGTTTTATTTTCCCTAGCATATTTATCAGTAACTGAAACTGTTTTACATATTTATTTACTTGTGTGTATTGCTTTTTCTCAATCCTAGAGTAAGAATTCTGGGAGAGCAAGGACCTTGGTCAGCACATAGTAGGTACTTAATAGATACTGGTTGAATGAATCAATGAATGAAAAGCAGTGTTGAAAGCCCAACTGAGAAGAGATAATAAAACTGCAGTGACTTAAAAGTCACACAGGTGTATGTATTTCACCACCACGGACCATAAAATAATAAGACTGATTTTTCCTATGTGCCTGTTCTGGAGATGATTTCAAATAAGTATTTCCAAATGTGAGCCAGGTGGCAGAGACATCTCTGTGAAAAGTAGACAGACTTCCAGGGTGACCAGTTCAGATGTTTACATTCTTATTTATTATACAGAAATTTCCTCGATTTTATAGTCTTTTTTATGTGAGTTGGCAAATTGTGGGAGGAAATTGCTGACTCCGTTTCTAGCCCCAAAGCTAAGCCGTATTATGCAGGTGAAATCAGGTTACTGAGATAGGTCTGGTTTCCTTGGTGACCCAGGAGGTTGGGTTATATTGGAAATTGCTAAGAAGGCGAAAAACCTGATAACAGCAGTTCTGTGTTTTCCTTGGGGAAGGAGAGCTTTTCAGTTCTCAGTCAAGGCTGAGAACATGCTTCCTTGACTGGCGGGGCTGAGCTTTAGCTGATGGGATGAGTGACACTTTCTAACTGCTCCCAGCGCCCTGCAACCCAGCCTGACAAGTTGTCCTATGCCAGCTCTGGGTAATTGCATCAGGACTCCTCACACTCCCGTTTTGTTTTTGCCTGTAAACACTGTAACTAGGATGACGAATTGTTAACTTATTGTAGGATGTGCTAACTACCTTTCTTTTGGTGGGAATGACAACAGAAGGGCATGTTATTTTATAGATGGTAGGGTGACCTTGTTAATTCCTTAGTGTCCTCTGTTGGTCAGATTTAAGCCCTAATGCCACTTGTTGACAAGTGCCATGAGCCAAGCACCGTGTTCAACACCTTAAAAATGTTTCCCTCATTTTCATGACAGTATTACGAAGTGTGCCATGTTATGATACCCATTTTACAGATAAGGAAACTGAGACTCAGAGAGGTGAAGTGGCTTTTGATGGTCACACAGCTTATCAGTGGTGCATTTGGGAATTTTAGAAAACGATTACCGCTTATCACCTACAAACACTGCCTTTTGAATCCTCTCTGAATACTGTCAGAGAAGGGGGCAGATTATTCTTGCTTTCTGCAGTTACCTGATATTCGGAGTCCACCTTATGCTGCATGTCTCGTAGATACTGAACATCACTGACAAACTTCTGCCTGTCCCTGGCTTCATGCAACATGATTCTTAATTCCCGACCTGCATATAAAAGAGAAATAAATGGGCGGTGATGGGCTCCTTTATTGCATTGCCATATTTGGATTTATTTTAATATAATTGCTTTTATTCTCTTATTCATCTGATCTCCATTATTTGAAAGGCACAGGTGCTCCTTTTCAGATGGAAGGGACTTCTTGTGTTGGTGTCAATATATTGTCCTCCTGTTCCAGGCATAAATAATGCAGCCACCTTCATTAGGGCTTCAGTGATCCTGTTCTGCTTATTCACAGGGAGCCAGAATAACAGACACCTGATTAGAAGCAGTTCTTTAACATGACCAATAAAAACTGAGAACCCAGCTAAATTAGCAATGACCAAAGTTAGAAGAAGCCCCTGCTTGCTGAAATTCATGTATGCAATAATGACTGTACCCTTATTCCAATCCAGGCATTGTGCTCTGGGTACTGGAATAGAGTGACCAGAATGGCAGACACACTCCTGCCCGAGTATTTCCTTCAGTCTAGAGTGGAAGACTGACATGCAGCAGGTGAACCCTAGTTGTGACAGGTGCTGTGGAGCAGAAGGGTGGGATTCTTTGAGAGAGCATTATTATAGGAGGGCATAACCCAGTCTGGAGGAGCCAGGCTAGATTTTCCTTAGGGAATGAAACTAGGTTTGATAAGCAATGAGCTAGACAGAGATGACAGCGTCAGGGCATGAGAGGGCAGGTGCAGATGAGGAACAAGGGTAGGGGACAGCATAGCTGGGGCAGAGACATGCAGGAACAGCACTGGAAGGGTTGGAGGGGAAGCCGGCTCCTGCAGTCGCCTTGAAGGTCCTGATTCCAAGAGTCACATGAAGTCACTGAAAGCTTCCAATCTGGGGAGTGAATGATTAGATTGTGTTTTTAAAAAGCCTTTCCAGTTGTAGTATGGAGAATGGGTGGTGGGGCTGGAACAAAAATGGAAGTAGGAAAAACACTAGGAATATATTATAGTCATCCAGATGCGATAAAATGGTGACCAGACTTGGGTCGCAACAGTGGAGGGGAAGAGGAAGAAGAAGAGGGGAAGGAGAAGGAGGGGAATGGAGAAGGAGAAGGGATCATAGCTACTATCCACTGAGCTTCTGGAAGTGCTAGGCGCTTCATACATATTAACTCATTCAACCTTCACAACAATTTTGTAGGGGAAATAACTGCAGCACAAAGGTATTAAGTAACTTGTCTAAAGTTACACAGCAAGTAAGTAGAAGAGTTGAGATTTGAACCCACAGTGTCTCACACTGGTGCCCACACTCTTAACCATGATGGATTTTCAGGGAATACTCAGGAAAGAAAACCATCAGGATTGGTGATCACCTGGATGGGGCAAGACAGGAAGTCTGCAGGAAGCTGCCCAGGTTGCCAGGTTGAACAACTAGGGGGCTGGTGCCAACTCTGTGTTCAGAAAACACAGGAGATGGCTCAGTGCCCATAGCTCAGTAGTTAGGGCACTGGCCACATATACTGGGGCTGGTGGGTTTGAACCCAGCCTGGGCCAGCTAAACAATGACAACTACAACAACAAAATAGCTGGGTGTTATGGCGGGCACCTGTCGTCCCACATACTTGGGAGGCTGACGCAAGAGAATCACTTAAGCCCAAGAGTTTGAGATCACTTGAGTTGTGACGCCACAGCACTCTACCAAGGGTGACATAGTGAGACTCTGTCTCAAAAACAAAAAAACAAAAAAAGAAAACACAGGAGGAAGAGCATGTTATGAGGAAAGAGCATGGAGTTGGAAGAGTCTGGAGTACAGCAAATGGAGATGTCAAGGAAACAGACGCAGGGCTCTGGAACAGATCAGAGAGGTGAAGATCTGGGCATCTCTGGGATTCTGGTGACAAATGAAATTGAAGGAAGAATGAATACTGAAAAGAGAAATAGGACACGGAACAAAATTTCGAGAAACACTTGAAGGTACAGATGATCTAAGAGAAAGAAACCTGCAAGGAAGCCAGAGGGCAGGAGGAAAGCCAGGTGGGCACCATTTCAGAGGTGCCGAGAAGAGAAGTTTCCAGAAGGAGGCTATTTATTACCTTGGTGAGAGCATTTAGTACGGTGACAGGGCTGAAGACAGATCACAGCGGGTTGCATAAATGGGAGGCAGAGGACTAGAGGCGATGCTTTCAAGAAGTTTGGCTCTAATGGCTAAATGTGTGACCCAAATCTTTAAGCTCCCAAAGTTACAAAATGGCAGTTAACAATGAGACTGCTGGACCGTGTCTCTGCTTATTGTGTAGAGAAGTTCTTTCATTTACTTCTGCACATATATTTTGATAACTACTATGTGACAAAGGCTGCTCTAGGCACTCAGGAAACAGCAGGTTAGGACAGGTGATGTCCCTATCCTGAGGTGTATACAGTCTGTGGCTTTCCTTGCCTCCTCCAGTTTATTCAGTTGTGTAGATATTGGCAGTCAGGATGCCCCTGACTCATGGTGACCTAGTGTCTGGTCTGGTTGTTATGAAATCTCACCAGGTTTATTGTGTAGCCCTAAGCAATTGGGAAAACTTGTGCCAATCTCTCAGGGGTTATTTGCTCTCAAGTATAGAAAGGGAGGGTCAGAATCTAAAGCTATGACCCAATATGTTGTTCTGCCATCTACACATCAACCCTAAATTTTGCCTCTGAGCATATTAATGGTCATTTATAGTCATTTAGCTTTCCATGTGAATTTTTACCTGCCTCCAATGACGTTACAGTCCCACCCTTTTCAGAAAATGATGGCGTTACAACACACAGGAAGATGAATTCCTGCTGCTACTATCCAAAAGAGAAGCCTGTCTGAATATTAATCAGGCAGAGAACATAAAGATTTGTAATGCAAATATGTTCGTGGTCACAAATGGGGCACATCCCAGAGTCCACTTGGATGACGCATTTGGGTTGCAAAGTTAACATAGAAAAACCAGCTAATCTATCATGGCTTTAGTTCAGTGTTACTTTAAGGAGACTTCTAAGTCAAGACGCATGAAATAACTTTGTCTAAATAGGTAGGAAATAACAGTTTGAATTACTTGCTAGGTTACCTCTGACTTCACAATCACCTACCAAATAAAGGACTTTAAAATTGCCTTCAAAAGTCTCTTTTCCCTCCCATAAACTCTTCATTACATTGTATTTTTATGATATTTAGAAGCACCATGGTGCCACGTGTAATTTCCTATTTAAATACATCAATACTTCGTGAGATTAAACAAATATACTGGGCACCAAGGCAACAGGGCATTAGAGACAGACCAAGAAGGTGTTAAGTTACCTCGGCTTAGGCAAACATTCTCTGTGTTCACTTGAACTTCATACTGCACTGCAAGTTTAAAAAACTGACCAGGATAAACAAGAAACAGAAATAACCGTGTGGAAATAAATCCACATGAGATAATGCTTAATTCATGGATCACAGCTTTGTGGGCCTACTCAACCAGATGGCCATTTGAAGCCAAGAACTTTTCCTCAGCAAATACAGACAGGTGGGGTGGGGCTGTGATAATCAAATGTGGGCAGGACACTTGTTTCTAAAATAGCTTTCTGTATTCTCTTCTAGTGCTCACCTTTGAACTGCTCAATTTAAAATCTGCTCTTAGTCATGCACACTTCTGTTTCAAGTCTCTGGCAATAATGTATTGTGCTAAATTTGTGCTTCAGAAACCAACATATGAGGCCATATTAAGTAGGGAGAGGGAAAGGAGAAGGGAGTAGAAGGCACACGGAGAAGGAAGGAGGGGGTCCTGCTTTGCTGAAGGCAAGAGTAAATGATTCTTCTGGGCCTCAAAATTCTACAAATCTATGAAATTTCAATGAGGAATATTCTAAGAACTTTGTGACATACACATTCCTCTCCAGTATAAATTTCCAATATATTCAAAGCAACTGACTTTTCCTAAGGGGAAGAGAATCTGATTGCAGGATATATTTTTCAGTTCTCTAAAAAATCAAATATTTTTATTATGTGTATGTCATACACATACACACACATGCTATCCTTTTGTTCTATGGCTACCCTTGTCAAAAGAACGGATCTGAAGGGAGCTCTTTTTAATAACAAGCTATTTTACTGTTTTCTTACTAAGTTCTTACATCAGAAATACATCATTACAATGAATGCTTTATTGTTTCAACAAAAAGGAAAATGTAAATTTTAACCCTTTCTTTAGGCTGAGGAGTCCTAGGAAATGAAGTCTAAATGGCTATGTTAATACTTACAATTGGGTTTATAAATTCCTCCTTTCCACAACTGGGTGCTTAAAAGAAGGATTTCAGGTGACCTTGTTCAATCGTTTCCTCAATTAATTAATTTGTAATGACAAAGATTACAGGATTTGTTTAAGTCTTAGCTTTTAAACAGAATTTTAAAAGCTTATACAAATGTCTTTAAGCAACAAGTGATTTGGGCTCAATTTTCCTAACACTCTCTGCATACTGCAGCAAAAGAGGAAGCATTATTTGGGGAAGATGGGGCCATCTGTCAACTCTCCTAGCAAATTTGTCTTAGGAAATTAAGGCGGAGGGCAGTGGGCTTTTTTGGGGTCGACTCTCCATTTTCTTGTGAAATTACGAGAGCTGAGCAGTCATACATTGACCCTCAAGCTCAGAAGAGCGAAAAGAAATTCCATGTGTAATTGGGAAACTTTGGAGATGAAATGTCACAAGTGTGACAAGCAATTCGGAGCTATCTTTAATAACAGTATCAACAATTTCGCACTCAGAAGCCCAAGGGGCCATGGTCTGGGTTCACCTTTTCTGAGTACACCTTTTCTGGACTTGCAGACCAGTGGAGTCTTTGGGTAAGTTATGTAGGCCCAGGACTGCTGCCTGTGTGCAAATGATCAGTCTCCTCAAAACAGTCCCTTTGGGGAAGGAAAAAAGTTTGGGCTGGGGAGAAAGCCTCCAGACCACCAGCCTTCAGGCCCGAATTCCCTCCAGAATCTTCCAAGTCTCGGAAGGAAAGCGTGTCCCCTACCTTTACCCCCTCGGAGGA